TTTCTTCTTCACCATTTTCTGGTCTCATTATTCTCTCTATTCTCTGGTTACACGAATTCTCTTATACTCCTCCTAAATCTCTCTTATTCTCCATTGCATTCTCTTAGATTCTCACATACTCTCTTACTTCTTTTCTCTTTAATTTCGACCACACTCTGTCTAAACACCACTCACACACCCTAATCTGTCTATTCTCACAAGTGGAGGGGAACATGTCAAACTCTAAGGCTCAGAAACAGAGCCGTGCCTGATCACAAGCTGATCAAGCATTGGGGCCAATAATATTATTAATGATTTATGGGCTATTTTAACAAGAAACATTGTTAGTTCAGTGGTTTAATAGGCAGGTTTATTTGTCTAGGTCATGGTTTCAAACCCAGCTTTATACAATTTTTGGGGCCAAATTTTTTTACTGCTTCTAACCTTATAAAAGTCAGGCACGGTCCTGCTCGTAAAGCTTTGTTTTTTGAAGATGCTTCTGTTGAATCTGGTTCTCTTTTGAACAAGAATACTAGTGCTTCAGAAGAGCTTCTTATAATGGGAGAGCCCAAAGTTACGGAGGGGCAGCTGGGGATTAGGAGTGATGACAAGATTATGAATGATCAATCTATGGACTCTCAAGCTTTGGATGAGGCAAACTTAATGATTGATGGGGTGTACTTTCTGACTCGGAGATCTTGCTGGAGGAGGGGGAAGACTTTCAGGAAGGGGAGCAGGGTGAGATCCCAGATATTAATGATCCAATGGAGGAGGTGGTTTTGGCTGATGGGGATCAACAGATGGTGGGTGAGCAAGAGGTGGGTGAGGTAGCTGATACAGAGATTTATCAGGTGGAGAATGATGGTGAGAGAGCTCCTAAGAAGAAAGGAGCAAAGGGGGGGGGGGAGGGAGAAATTTCAAATGGAGGAACTGCTAAGAAGCACCAGGTGCAGACCTTTATTTCTTCCCGTAAGAAACTCTTGGCTAAGGTGGCTTTAAAGGTGGGAGATAAAGGATCTAAAAAGGCTTGTATGAAGCCTAAGAACCCAGCAGAGTAAGAACTCTGAATGGTGTTTTCAAATTCGTTTCTTTAGTTTCTGAATAATGTCAGATCCATCTATGAAATCCTTGGTTTTTATGTTTCGTAGTTATGGTTTCAAGTTTTCTAGTTGTGTGTACCTTGGTGTTGCAAGGGTCTGGTTTTTTCCTGCTTCTCTCATGCTGATTGTTGGTTCGTTAGATGAATTTAATAAAAATGTTTGGTTTCGATTTCAGAATGGTGTTAAGGTAGTTCCTGAGGCTTGTTATGTGTTCCTCTCTCTACGGAGGGGAATTGGTTTTTACTATATTTATACGAGGAGTGGGAAGTGATCATGAGGTTTTATGGTATCATGTTATGGTTTCACTCATGGTATGTGTGGGTTTAAGTTATTTATTATCGCTTTAAAGGGAAATTTGTGTGGACTTGAGACGTTTTGGGATTACTGGTTTGTTTGGATCTATAGAGTTTTGGATATAAATCTTTTTATTATAACAAGGTTGGTCGGTTTATGTATTGTATCATGGTGGTGATAGTTTATTGTGGCTTGATGGCTTATATAGAGAGGTGTGTTTGGTTTTTATGGTACCTGACACGAGGAGAAGGGGTGGTTTGATGGCTTATATAGAGATGTTCGGTGGCCTTTTTTGGTTAACAAGAATGGTTTGCATTGGTTTTAAGAATGGTCACAGGGGGTCGTTGGAATGGAGTGAGGTTCTTATGGGGTTGTTGTGGTTTGATGTTTTATGGATCTGACTGTGTTGATGGCTTTCAAGTTTGGTTTAATTTTGAAGTCTGGTATGTCTTAGGTTTTCTTTTAGTGGTGATAGAGTGGCGAAGGGGTTGTAACTTGAGTTCCATCTTATGGCTTCTCGTTGATATTCTTTTGGAATTTATTTTTCGCTTGCTCTGGGATCTTTTTCAGAAACTTAGTTCATATGCTCTTCTGACTTATTTTAGGTTTATGTACTTCATTTTTCAGGCTGATCTTAGTAACATGAATCTCCAAAAAGTTGATTATCCTTGTGCCACCTTAGTTGGGATTGTTTTTGATCATATTATGTCAATTATTCCCTACCTGAGGGAGTCTAATAAGGTTCTATGGTTTTGTTGTTGCAGAAGGGTGTTTTGTTTTCCCATAGTATATGGTTGTGTTTTTATATCTTTAACTGAGTTTTTGGGACTGGTTTACTTATTTTCCAGGCGTAAGCAACGAGTTGGGGAAGATCATTTTTTTTTATTGTTATGAGGGCTCCGAAATGGTGGTACATGGCGTCTATCCTTGGTTCTGATATATGGGCTTTAATTATGATGACTATCTTATGGTCGGATTTGGATGAGATGATCTGGAATAATGGGTTTTAATATGATGGGCCCAAACCTTGGTTTCGATGGGGTTTTGTATGTTGGATATGTGAACAAGGAACTTCCTATCTATGTTGGTTTGTGGTTTGGATTAGGATCCCGGTTCGTCAATTGTATTGTTGGCATTTACTTGGTATAGAATTTTGTAAGGTTTCGTGGCGGTGTTGCTCTCGAGCTTTTATGTTGTTAATGTTCCGAGAATGGCAGGAGATTATTTGTCAATATTTAAATGTAAGGCTCTATAGTAGATGCGTTATCTGTATTGCACTCTGTTTCTGGAGAATATTATGGCTTTGTTGGTGCCGAAGAGGTATATTCCACTTCATTTTCTTGGCCTTGTCTGGTCTCGGAAGGTATACATGGGATTCTTTCGACAGGGGATACAAATTGCTAAGGAGATCTTATTCACTCCTGGGTAGGGTTGTAGGAAGGAGGTGGTGGTTAAGTGGAAATAGACATGGTAATTTATTATTTTCAGCTATAGATGAATGCAGTAGTGGAGAGACATAGCGGTACTATGATTGATCCACGTATGTTATTTTTTGGATAAATGAAGGTTTTGAATTGGAATTGTCAAGATCTTGGTAGTAAATGGACTATTAGCTACTTGAGCGAAATCTCGTCAAAACATAAACCAACTTTTCTTTTTCTTTCCGAAACAAAACAAAAATTTGAATTTGTTCAATCTTTTCAATTTCATTTAGGTTATTCTCATCTTCATATTATCAAATCCTCAAGGAAGAAGAGGTGGATTAGCTCTTTTCTTTGATTCCACTTACAAGGTTAATATTATTTCTTCGAATAATAGAATTATAGATGTTGAGACAGAGTATAAAGGCAAGCGTATCTTCTCTCATTTGTGTATGGAGAACCGAACCAAGGCCTTAGGGATCAAGTGTGGGAGAGGCTTACGAGAATCGGCATTGTTTTGGATTGATCCTTGGTGTATGATTAGTGATTTAAATGAAATTACGGGGAATCATAAGAAAGAAGGAGGGGCTTTACGACATGTTGATTCGTTTATCTCTTTTAATAATATGATACAAAATTGTGGTTTATTGGAGTTTCTGAGTCTCGGAAATACACTTTCTTGGAGGGGACGAAGGGGAGGACATGTCGTCAAATGCCGGTTAGATCGGGCTTTGGGAAATAATGATTGGCACAATCTATTCCCTTGCTCTTTTGTGGAATATTTAGGGATGATAGGATCAGGTCATAGACCAAATGTGGCATCCATTGAAGATTAAACTATTCAATCCTGGCGTCAGTTTCGGTTTTACAAGAGATGGGTTGGCGCGGATGGATTGATGGAGGCTATTGAACGAGGTTGGTCAGTGTACATAGGTGGACAAACCGGAAGACTAGTTGATAAAATTCATAATTTTCGGCATGATATATCGGTATGGCGGAAGAGTAATCCACATACGGTAAAGAAAATATCAAAACATTACAGAAAGCTCTTGAGGACGTCCAGAATGTATGTCTAAATCACATCAGGAGGTGGTCGAAGTGTCGCGTAAATTAAAAGAATCTTATAGAGATGAAGAATTATATTGGTAGCAAAAACAGGAATACGTGGCATACATGTGGAGATAGAAGTACAACGTTCTATCACGCACTTACGAAGCAAAGACGGATGCAAAATATAATTATTGGTTTACATAATGTGGATGGGAAGTGGACTAACTCTGAAGATGAAGCTGAGGAGGTCGCAGTAAAATATTTTGAAAATCTGTTTCATTCGACTTCCATAACTGATTTTGATAGTTTTTTGGAGGAAGTTCCGGCATTGGTAAATGAGGCTCAAAATAGAAGATTAACGGGACTGGCCACTGAGGAGGAGATGAAACATGCGTTAATTATGATGCACCCTGAAAAGGCTTCAGGTCCTGACGAAATGACTGCCTTATTTTATCAACAATCTTGGTCAGTAATTAGGCATGATGTGATTAATATGATTAATGAATTTCTTTGGTCTGGGAGTTTTGATGATAGACTTAATTTGATAGATATTTGTCTTATTCCTAAAACAATTATCCACAGTCGGATGACAGAGTTACGATATATTAGTCTGTGCAATGTTGGTTATAAAATTATCTCCAAGGTATTATGCCAGCGGTTGAAAGGTCTACTTCCCACTCTAATCTCAAAGACGCAATCTGTTTTTTTTCTTGGGAAGATCAATTTTGGAAAATATTCTAATTGCTCATGAAATGTTTCATGGGTTACGTACTAATAAAGCTTGCAAGGAAACAATTTTGGCCATTAAGACATATATGAGTAAAGCTTATGATAGGTGGAGTGGGCCTTTCTGGAACGCCTGCTTCTGAAAATGGATTTATGTTCTATATGGTGTGCATAGTAATGAAATGTATCCCATTAGTTAAATATCAGGTTTTACGGAATTGGCACTCTAAAGGGAATATTGTGTGATAAGAGGACCCGTTATCACCATATTTATTTATTTTTAGTACGGAAGCTCTAATTGCAAATATTAGGAAGGAGGAAAGGAACAAATGTTTGACGGGATTAAAATATCGGAGGGGGGGGGACCTTTGGTTTCTCATCTTCATTTTGCGGATGATAGTTTATTTTTTTGTAAGGCTAACTCGGCTGAATATGTGGTGATTCTAAAGCTTCTTAAGGATTATGAAGTAGTGTCAGGACATCTTATAAATTTTGAGAAATCATAAATTCTATTTGGTTATAAGGTACCAGAAACGATGCGGGCGGATATTCAATCTCAGTTAGGTATTACTACAATGGGTGGTATGGGTAACTCCTTGGGAATTCCGAAAGTCTAGAGGGATCTAAGGTTCAGGTCTTTCGTTATGTAAATGAAAAGGTTAATCAGAGAGTTAACAGTTGGACAATTGGATTCCTTACTAAAGGTGGAAAATAAGTTATGATAAAATCAGTAGCAACATCAATGCTGAATCACGTCATGTCATGTTACAAAACCATTATTTTTGGTTTTCTCTCTGTTTTGATGTCATTTGAACGTTTTTGGATATGCAGGTTTTTTCAGATCTCAGATAGACAACGAAAGACTTACAGAAGACGTTAAAAAGACTTTCCCGGAAGTCTTCTAACATTTTCTTAAGTCTTTGACGTCGTCTTAAGTCTTCTGGCGTAGTCTTAAGTCTTCTGTCGTAGTCTTAAGTCTTCTAACGTAGTATTAAATTTCCTGACGTAGTCTTAAGTCTTCTGACGTAGTTTTGAGTCTTCTTGGAAATCTTCTCTTATATCAAGTGGAGTCCAAGATTGTCTTTGTGGAGGAATGATCTTAAAAAAGTTTATTTATGGTCTGTTTTGTGATTTGTATGTGTAATCTTTAGTTGTGATTTTTTTTTGGAAATTTGAAAAATATTAATAAAAAAATATGGTAAATATGTTTATTATCCAAAATTAATTCACATTATTAAAATAAACAAGATGTAAGATATGTGCTAACAATTTGTTTTCCACTTTTACAAATCAAGGAAATAAAAAAAATCATTGGCCTTCAGATTCAAAACATGATGTTTATTGTGTAGTTCTTCTCATCTTTGGATCTCCCATACTTTACGGAAAAAATATAAATTTGTAACTATAAACAAATTCTTCTCATGAACTTACAATAGTTGTTCATCAATTTAAACTTCTAAAAA